CTGACTTTTTTTTTTTAAAACAGTGTTTAAGCTTTGATTCAGATGAACTGATTTCCAATTTTATATATGTGGTTTAGCTCCATCCATTCATCTACAGCAGACAGCCAAAGCATGGTAGAAGTTTACTGAACCTTGGTTTGAACTCTATTCCTAGCCACGGTAAAAATGGGTGTGGAGATGAGAGCATGTAAATGATGAGAAAAATAGACTCAACTGTGAAGACATCATGATGTACATTTTTTCAAAGGATATAGAGAAATCTAACTGTATTTCTAGTTAAGAAAACTTTTGAAAAGTGATACAGGAATAACTAACTGAAAGTTTTTTCGTTGGTGGATAAATAGCATCCGATATTTCGGTCTTCTCCTACATCAAAATATTACTCAGAGATGCTGCACTGGAAAACCAAAAGTTCAAGATACCTGTTAGCATCTCAAAGCAGCCTCACACAGCATCTTCACTGGACAGACTGTAGAACACAGGAGGAAACCTATATTAGTAACTATTTCCTTCTCGTATTAAAATTAGCCCTGACATTTCAATTATTTTAAAACTGCCAAGCAATCTTTTAGCCTTTAACAACCTCCCAACTAACAGAATTAAAAAAACAAAACAAAACAGTCATCCAAACAACAGAAGGGGGATAAAAATAATTTTCAGTGGAAGTATGCCAATGCCCCAGTTTTGCAGGCACATGTACATAAAGAGCAGTAACACTGAACTGACTGGGACTACTCGCATATACTTTCTTTTACATGTGTAAGTGCTTGCAATATTGCAGCTTTATAGAACATAAGTGTTAATATGAGCAGAGAAGACAAGCTTCTTTAACAGTCTCCGAGTGAAACGGCTGCCAATGTAAGCAACAAACTTAGAAAGGGGTGAAGAAACTTAACTGGTTTCAAACACTAGACACCTTTTAAAATCTAAAGAACAAGCCAGGGATCTCAGCTTCATACGCAGGTAAAGATGAATGCTTACCCTAAAAAAAACCTTCCCAGAATGTTTTCATCTGACGTGTTTAGCACAGACCCTATATCTGTTCTAACGTTCTCCCTTTTATTTATTGTGCAAAAGAAATCCCACCTCAACTGCAACTGAGAAACATTCCTTTTTACATTAAATTGAATCAACATAAAATACACATTTATTTGGCCAGTAACACCCAAAACGAGCGGGGCGCTGTATGAATGACAGAATGATCTGGCTGACTGAGCATGAGAGCAGGAGCAAGGAATAAGTCTTTGTCCCTGTGTGTGTGACCCTGGATAATCTACCTCTCTGTCCCAGTTTGTCCATCTGTAAAATGGACGTGACAGTGCACTGATGCCTGTGGGACACACTTAAGTCTCTTGTTTTAAGACGCTAATCCAAAGTTTCCCCGGGTGACAGTTCTACTCCATTTGAACATAGCCACCTTTGATTGGCAATTTATTTTTTATCATTTTTACACTGTCACAAAGAAAACTGGTCTCTGTACTAACCTACCCCATTAGGTATTTTTGTTAAAGGGACCATTGAGCTAAGAGTTATTCATCTAAAGCACTGTAATTTCCAACTCCTATTGCCCAGGTCTGTCTGTCAATCCTCTGACTTCGTAAGTCATTTTTCTATTTTTAAATCTTCCTTGTTGTCACAGTTATGGGA